ACAACAGTGTCTTTGATACTCAACGTTTAAACAAAAAGGTGTCTCAATTTCAAAATCTAAAAAGAAGTTAATATTTGAAAATTTTAGTAGAATTTATCACTTTAAAATTTAAATAAAGAATTAGATGGTTTAAAATTTTCTGCCGAAATTTAAAAAATTGAAAACATATTTCTGACTTCCAAACTGTTTTTTTTTTTTTTTTCTTTTTTTTTTTTCTTTTTTTTTTAACAAGCGAAACTAGATTTAATTATAAGAATTCAAAGTGCTTACAATAAACAAAGGGTGAACATCAAGCCAAACTACACGATCATGCAAAGAACTAGATTCCCTAGCTAGTAAGTGGGCAACCTGATTCGTTAAACGTTTTGCAAAACAGAACTGCAAACCATTTATAGAAGTTGCAATGACTTTAATATCATCCACTATCAAGTCGAAATACAACTCCCCCATGCCTCCTAGCAACGCATCATAAACCACCTTAGCATCCATTTCAACATCCACCGCCGTGACCTGCATTTCCTTCACCCAACTCAACGCTTCCCGGATCCCCAAGGCTTCCACCGAGCAGGCATCTCTCGCCACAACAGCCAGAGCAGTGGATACGGCCGCTACAAAGCCCCCCTACAATCACGCAAAACCCAACCAAAACCTGCCTCACCACTGCCGCTGTCATACGATGCGTCCACGTTCAACTTACATCTTCCCATGTCCAGTTTCTTCCACCGCTGCACCCTAATACCTGCCTCACTCCCCACGCCTTCCCCCCCCCCCCCCCCCCTTCTCTCATTGACCTTGCACCACCAAAACCAAAAGCTTTGTGCTAAAGAAAGTACCTTATCCACACACACCACTCCCTCATTCCAGATAGTATCGTTACGGCATTGCCACAGACTCCAGCACACAACCAAGCATAACTACAATCGAATGATGTTCGCAGTCAAGAACAACAGCTTAAGACCCTCACTGGCCGATTGGAACTCCACCCCCTCCAACCTCACACCAATCCGTCTCCAACAGTCCCTCGCTAACGAACACGTAAATAGTACATGCACGCTCGTCTCATCCACAAATCTACAAAGCCTACAAATGGCCGAGCACTCCACTCTTCTTCCACGTAAAATATCGGCTGTAGGTAGACGACCACTACCCACCTGCCAAATGAACGACTTAACCTTTGGTGGTATCCTTAACCCCCACACTGCTGTCCACCCTAACCAACCCTCCACCACATAATCCCCAACTAACACCCTATAACAGATCTTCACCGTGAATCGTCCCCAACTCTCTATAGTCCAGGACATGGAATCTTTACGCTCATATATTGACAAAGGGATGGATAAAACCAACGCCGAATCCCTCTCATTTAAAATGTCACGCACCACCTCCGCATCTCACATTCTTTCCAACATGTGAAGCAAACCACACCCCTTCGCGCCCACCAAGTGTTCAGATGCCTCCGTTTCCACCTCCCTATTCTGATTATCTAGTAACCATGCATCCCCCCACACATTAATATCCTTCCCATCCCCCACACGCTAAAACATATTACAATATGAAGACTGAGAAGAGAAAAGAGGCTCTGTGTATTCGATTTGATGAAGATTAGTTAAACCATACAGAGACTTAGAGAGACTTTAATGGAACAGTGCTTCTAACAGACTAACAGACAGACTTGACTTAATGGACTGTTACAAGAACTGTTACAAAACTAATCTAACAGATTAACTAACTTTTCAACTAACATATAACAGAAGCTATTCTAATATCCCCCGCAAGCTGGACTGTATATGGAATAGAGTCCTAGCTTGGAAACAAACTTCTGGAACAGCATAGGTTGTAAAGGTTTTGTAAGGATGTCTGCTGTCTGATTTTCTGTAGAAACATGTAGGAGTCTGATGATTCCCTTCTGTACTTTCTCTCTTATTAGATGACAATCGATCTCTATATGTTTAGTTCTCTCATGAAACACAGGATTCTCTGCTATAGAAATGGCAGATTTGCTATCAGAAAACAATGTTGCTCCATCCTTTAAATGGACTTCAAGGACCTCAAGTAGATATGACAGCCATTGTATCTCACATGAGGCAAGGGCAATGGCTCTATATTCAGCCTCGGATGAGGACCTTGAAACTGTATTTTGCTTCTTAGACTTCCAGGATATCAGGGCCCCTCCTAGGAAAATACAAAATCCAGTTACTGACCTCCTTGTGTCAAGACATGAAGCCCAGTCTGAATCAGCAAAGCCACTGAGTTTAAGATCTGAATTTGCAGGAAATAGAAGGCCCTGTCCAGGGTTCCCCTTAATGTATCTCAAAATCCTGTGTGCTGCGTTCATGTGAATGGTGGTAGGACCATCCAAAAACTGAGATAGTTGTTGTACAGCAAAGCTAATGTCAGGCCTTGTGACTGTCAAATATAGAAGCTTTCCTATTAACCTCTTGTATGTGGAGTTATCTTCCAGAGCTGTACCATCAGTTTTGGAGAGCTTATTTGATTGAACCATGGGGCACTTTGCAGGTTTACTCTCAAGGAAGCCTGTATCATGTAGAAGATCCATGGCATATTTCCTTTGTGTCATGACAATCCCTTTATTGCTTCTAGCAACTTCAAATCCCAGAAAAAACCTCAACCTTCTTAGGTCTTTAATTTGAAATACTGCATGTAGATGATCCTTTACTTGCTGTATCTGACTTTCATCATTACTAGCTAGAATTACATCATCAACATATACCAGAAGAGCAAGAAAATTGTCACTTGAACCTCAGGTAAACAAGGAGTTGTCACAGGTAGCTTGCTTGAATCCCATGTTGACCAATTCAGTGGTTAGTTTAGCATTCCATTGCCTGCTAGCCTATTTCAAACCATATAGTGACCTTTTTAATTTACACACTTGCCCTGGTTGTGTGGGGATGAACCCTGGGGGAAGGACCATGTAAACTTCTTCTTTGAGATCTCCATGGAAGAAGGCATTGTTAACATCAAGTTGATGTAAATGCCAACCTTTTGCAGCTGCCACAGTGAGTAAGGTTCTGATAGTAGTGACCTTAGCCACTGGACTAAATGTGTCAACATAATCTATTCCACATGTTTGGGTATACCCCTTTGCAACCAGTCTAGCCTTGCACCTTTCCACTGTTCCATCAGCCTTGTACTTCACTTTGTAAACCCATCTACACCCTATTGGTTGCTTGGACTGAGGAAGGCTGGTTAATTCCCAAGTGTTGTTGGCCTGCAAGGCATCTATTTCTGCTTGCATAGCAACCTTCCAGCATTCATGCTTAATGGCTTCATTGTAGGACTTAGGCTCTTGAACATTCAGGATGTTGGTGGCAAAGGTCCTAAAACTGGAAGATACCCTTTTGTATGACATCACAGCTGAAAGAGCATGGGGAGAAGTCCTTCTGATAGGCAGATTGCAGTCATAGTCTTTAAGGTAGGTAGGCATGGACACTTGCCTGCTTGATCTTCTAGGTTCCACTGGATTTGGAACATGATCAGACTGAGATTGCTCTGTGATGAGGTTACCATGAGTGGATTCAGAATTAGGAGCATCAGAATCAGTGGCATCTGACTGCACTGGTCTGCCCACACTGCTTTGTATTGTGAAATCCTCCATAACACTGCTATCACTTGGTAAAATAGGCATCTGATGTAACTGAGGCTTGCTTGATTGTCCTTCTGCTTTGTAAGGGAACACATTCTCATAGAATACCACATCCCTTGATATAAACAATTCTCTGGAGTTTAAATCAAACAACTTGTATCCTTTTACCCCATTAGGATAGCCAAGAAACAAGCATTTCCTAGCTCTGGGTGAGAATTTTGTTTGGTGGCCTTTGTGTAAAATGGCATAGGCTAGACACCCAAACACCCTTAAGTGAGAATATTGAGTAGCTTTGTTAAAGAGAACTTGATGAGGGATCTGACCTTGCAAGGCTGCTGATGGCAACTTGTTGACAACATATACTGCATGTAAAACACAATCCCCCCAAAAAATATCTGACAACCCTGCTTGGAATTTTAGGGCTCTTGCAACTGTCAGTATATGTCCATGTTTTCTTTCAACCACCCCATTCTGCTGTGGTGTATAGGTGCAAGTTGACTGGTGAACAATCCCCTTCTCTTGGAAGAAACTGTCCATCTTGAATTCTTGCCCATTATCTGTCCTTATGCACTTAATCCTCTTCTCAAACTGTGTCTCAATCAGAGCACAGAAAACCTTAACCAAGGTCCTAACCTCATCTTTACTTCTCATCAAGTAAACCCATGTAGCCCTGCTAAAATCATCCACAATGGTTAGAAAAAACTTGTGTCCATAGATAGTATGCACATGATAAGGTCCCCAGATATCAATGTGGACAAGGTCAAAACAAGCCTTGGAGGCAGTGGAACTAGTATTGAATGGCAACCTTTTCTATTTGGCTAGATGGCAAACATTGCAAGCATCTGTTTTATTTATTTTCAGATTTACATCAATCAATGGCAACTGTTTCAATTTCTCATATGAACAGTGTCCTAACCTAGCATGCCAAATGCTGCTAGTATTACAGGCATTAGCCCTAATGTGTTCTATTCTATTTAGAACAGAAAAATGAGGTTTTACAAGGTGATATAAACCTTTCTGCAAGCTAGCCAAGCCAATCATCCTCCCACAATCCAGATCCTGTATAATGCAAAGGTCAGAATACAAAAGGAGTTTGCACTTGGATGTTTTAATCAGCTCACTAACAGAAACCAAATTGTAATGAAATGCAGGTACACAGAAAACATTCTGTAGGATCAAACTGTCAGTGTGTATGGTCCCTATGTGTGAGATATCAGCTCTATCACCATTTGGGAGTTCTACAAACATCCCTTGGACCTTTTTTGCATCTGTTAGAAGGTTATGATCACACACAACATGATGTGTGGCCCCACTATCCAGTATCCAACTAGTCCTGCCATTAAGAGAAGGTTTAGAGTGAATACCTTCAACCTGAGAAACAGATGCAGGAGCAAAGCTAGCAGCAATCAGATTGGCCTGTGGTACTACCCCTCCAACTTCACTTAGGGGTGAAAAACTGTGAGCTATGTTGTCTTTGTGCAGAAGCTGCCTGAGCAACTTATACTCATCCTGGCTCAAAGTAACAGAACCAGATTTCCCACTAAGAGGCTGCTCTTCTGAGTTGAGTTGCATTTGGTTAGCATAACCAGCAGCCTTATTTCTTGGCTTCCATCCTGGAGGATAGCCATGTTTCTTATAGCATTTCTCTGCAGTATGCCCAGTATATCCACAACAAGAGCAGACAGGTCTCTTATTACTATTATTTGAGGGATATTTTCTGCTATTGCCTTGAGTAAACATGATACTGCCAGTTTCTTGAATTGGTCCTCCTGCATTGTTGAACCTTCTTTCTTGTTGTTGAACCATCATAAAGGCTTCATCAACAGAGGGAAGGGGCTTTGTCATCATTATTTGAGATTGTACAGAAGCATAACTGTCATTGAGTCCCCTCAAGAAGACTGAGAGATTGTCACTTTCTAATTGTTGTTCTAGAGTTTGCATTAAGCCACAGTCACATCTCTTTTCACATTTACAGACTGGTAATGGTCTTATGACCTGAAGTTCATCCCACAAAACCTTCAACTTAGCAAAGTATGCACTTACAGTTAGGTCTCCTTGCCTTATTTGGTGTATTTCAGCTTGGAGATCCGAGATCCTGAAGATGTCTGCTTCGCTGAACCTTGCCTTCAAGGTGTTCCATATCCTTTCCGCCGTGCCCACCCACAGGATTGTATGAGCGATCTCAGAAGAGACAGATTGCATAATCCATGTCGCGACCATGTTATTGCATCTCTTCCAGTAGGGATATTTGACCTCTCCTATATTTGGCATTGAGATTGTGCCGTCGACGAACCCTAATTTATTCTTCGACAGTAACGACATTTCCATCGCCCTTGCCCAGGGGTGGTAATTCCGACCATCTAGCAGCGTAGAAACGAGAATCAGTGAGGGATTCTCGTTTGGATGTAAGAAGAACGGACTGGCGGCATCGTTAGGATCAAAGGGCGTTCCTGCAACACCGGAATTGCCCGTTGCCGGAACAGATGGAGCTGCCGGTGGAGCTGCAACCGGAGCAGTTGTTGACGACGCATTTGGTCTGTTACCGTTCCACGCCATGAGAGCAGCTTAGAGCTCTGATACCATATTACAATATGAAGACTGAGAAGAGAAAAGAGGCTCTGTGTATTCGATTTGATGAAGATTAGTTAAACCATACAGAGACTTAGAGAGACTTTAATGGAACAGTGCTTCTAACAGACTAACAGACAGACTTGACTTAATGGACTGTTACAAGGACTGTTACAAAACTAATCTAATAGATTAACTAACTTTTCAACTAACATATAACAGAAGCTATTCTAATAAAACATCCTTGTTTTAGCGTTTCCTAAGTCTGCCATATGCTCCGCCATACAAACGACGGACAACTTCCAAGCTTAGCCTCCAAGAACGACGTAGTTGCGTAGTACTTGGCCTTGAAGACCCGAGCAACTAACGATTTAGGATATTGAGTCAACCTCCAACCCTGCTTGCACAACTGACAAGACGTTTACCCTTCTCAAATTTTAGTGTCAAAAAGTTGTTGGATGACTCCTGAATTTATTGTTCTCTACGGATGGTCGTTCGGAGTAGCCTTGCATTGTCAACATCAAGATGGTGGTTTGCATACAATTGAGGGGATGTCACACAATTTATGATGTGGTCTTGTAGGTTACAACCAACAAACAACTAGAATGAAATAACAAATAAGGAAATAGGGGTTGAATTGCTAATGATGATCATGAGTCACCTAGATGGAAATATAAGATGGAAATATAAGAATCTATCTAAAATCTAAAGGTTTGTGATATTTCTCTCTCTACAATATACTCATCTGAAAACTCTCCCAAAAATTATTAAAAAACTAAGAACTCCAAAAAACTCTCTGAAAATGAATTAAAAAGAGTCTTAAATAGCATTCCCTTCACAATTTCCGCACCAGGTCACTACGCACGTCACAACGTGCAATGTGCGATTAAGTTCTCTTTCTACGGCTTCTGCGACGTGCGTTGCGCTCTTCGTGGATCCTTCTATTTCTCCACAACGCACGGAACAACGTGCGTTGTGCTTCCACGTGGATCTTTCTGTTTCTCCGCAACGCACGGCACAACGTGCGTTGTGCTCCTCGTGGATCTTTCTGCTTCTATACGACGCACGTCACAACATGCGTTGTGCCTCCTATCTTGGCCTCGACTTGTCTCCTTTTCCCGCTTTGTTCTGTCCTATGCCACTTTGCCTCGTTTTCATCCAAATTAACCTACAAAAGCACAAAATACGAAGTGTGGTGGTAATTTAAAACACAATGCACAATCTTAGCTTGAATGGCCTAAAATGGTACACAAAGGATCATAATTAGCCCAAAATACACCCTAATGAGACCCCAAAACTAGGTGTCTTTGACACTTATCACAAGTTTCCACACTTTAATTCTTGCTTGTCCTCAAGCAAGCTCTAATTTCCATGATCATATAAGTGTCAAGGATACCTTCAAGCTAAGTTCAATGATAACTTAATTCATCCAATGGTCAATCAAGATAAGTGTGTAATCTAATGGAGGGGGTGAAGTCCCTCATATCATGCGATAAATATGCTAGTCATGCACCCCTACTAATGCAACTCAAGGAATATACTAAGGAAGCAAAAACTCCTAAAAGGTAAAATTAAAACAAAGGAGGGTATACTCTCACACCATTCATCAAGCTTGCAATCCAAAATGGGTATTCACATCTCATCTTGCAAAGGCCTATAGCCGAGCCATACAAGTGGGAATGATGTATACATCCCAACCGATATCCACCCTTATAATGCCAAGGTCCTTTACAAGAATGTAAGTGAATGGTTTAGTATGGGCCACGCACCAACCATGAGCCAAGGTCCAATTCCCTCCGGCACAGAGCTCTGTAGTTTAACCCCGGGGAAACTTTTTGTGGTCTCGAGTTAAGCGTTGGTTCTCTCACGCTTCCACCCTTATGCCAAAGATCGACTCCCCACGGCATAGATCTCTATGTTTTAGCCCGAGGGAATCTTTTGTGATCCCGGCATAAGCAATTGCTCCCTCTTTCATTTTTTCTCTCTTTCTTTTTCTTTGGTTGGCCATTTGTTTTGGTCTTGCCTTTTTTCTTCTTTATTCCCTTTCTTCATCACTCATGATTTTTCTTTGGATTTGGGGAATTTTTCTCACTTCTCACCATAAGGCTCACCTTTTTCCCCATACCTTACCAAGATTAAGTTCATTTCTGACCTTGCACTTTTTATCTTTCCAAGGTTGGAGAGTACACACTCCCACTTTGAGAGATCGTTTACTAATGTCTAAGCAAGATAGGAGGTGAATTCATACAAGCATGCATCAAATGTAAACCTAATTGGCTTTCTATGAAATTCCTCACTTAGGTGTAAGAAATGTAACTTCCAAAGGATATTCCAAGAATAAAAAATTTTTTTGTACGGCCACATCACTATCACATTTATCACATTATATGAATAACGATACACTCTCTATATCCAACACACTCGTCAATCAAGCACAATTTAATCAATTAAGCAACAAAAGATATTTAAGCACAACGTGCTTCCCTTTTCACACTTTAAAATGAACATCGTCCTCAATGTTACCTTAAGTCCAAGTGGAAAAGAAAAAAACGGTCTAAAGAAAAAGTGCATGTCCCTTTCCACACTTTAGGATTTTTGTCGGGACTTGAGTGTATTTGAAAACTAAATCCTTTGTGAAAGAATAAGTGGCCATTCAAGCTAGTGCACAACAAAGCAATTTCTTTCCACACTTTAAAAGTGAAACAAGGGGTGCAAAAGTTAAGGGATAGAAATGTTTCACCAAATGTAGTGCATATCCCTTATTGAAACCATATGTCTTTGCCCCTTCCACTAGAAAGCTTCACAACAGTGTTAGTGGCATAAGCAATATAAGCACAAGCAAGGCTCACGAGATTGGATAGGAAAGCTATTTATTCCTACTACTTATTATTATTATTTTTGTATTTTTCTCCCCCCCCCCCCCCCTTTCAATTAAGCAAGCAAACAATATAAAAGAACCTAAACTAGAACAATTCCTAATGAAGACTATGAATATAGAGATATCTAACTACTCCATGCATCAAGATACTTAAGCAAAGCTTGTAAGCAAGTAAACCCAATAAAGCAATAAAGCTAAAGGTAGAAAAGCAAAAGTACTCGAAATAGAAATATAAGTGCAAGCAATCAAAACAAACAGTACGAAACTAGAAAGCAAATAAAGTGTCAAAATATCCTAATTGTCAATTGTCAATGTTATGGAACCAGTGGCTTCATTCATTCTTCATTTCCTTGGGGTAGGTTGATCGGCTTCATTCATTTGGAGGGAATGGGTGGAATTGTTGGTTGAATTGAGCCTGGAGCTCCTCTATCTCTCGCTCGTGTGCCCTATGCATCGACATGTTCTCTTGATGGAATTGGTATGTCAATGCTTGCATGGACGCCCAATTGTAGACTTGTGGGATGTCCTCGGGGACCTCATACATTGGTGGTGGCTGTGGATACCCTTTCGGTGGTGGCAACGGGTTGTGCTCTTCTTCAACCTCCTCTTCCTCTTGTGCTTGGGGAACTTCCTTGATCATCTTTGCCTTCAAGAAATCCGACATGGTGAGAGCGATCATTGACCCGACCCTTCTCTCTCTTTTGAGCTTGCCTTGTAACCCTAAGCAGAAAATCGACTTTGTTAGAATAGGACCGATAAAGATGGTAGGACACTTCCCGATACATTGGGCCTTGAGCCACTTCTTAACTTGCACGCCCATGTTGACATTCTTCTTCTCCCTCATGCTCCAAAGATCAAAAAGATCGGCACGGTAGACCTTATGCAAGTTAGACTTTCTTTCGGTGAATGTCACCGCCAATGCATATCGGATGGCCCTCAACTCATTCAATTTAATGCCCTTGGAGTTGGTGTTGTTGGGGGTCAAAACTCCTCCCATCCGAAATTTCTTGCCAAAAATCCTTCATCTCTTGGCTTGTGTCGAAGTCGGTGAGGTATCTCTCAAAGTGTCTTGACTGGATCTCCTCCGCGGTGTGGGTTCCCACATAGAGACAACAAATGTTCCTTACCAAAGATCGTGAACTTGACGAATTTGTGTTGTTCTCGAAATTGGACTTTCCGAAGTCAAGGGTAGCAATAAACTCATACACCACCAGTGCATAAGTGTTCCCTCGCATTCCAAATATAACACTCCACTGCGGGTGATTGATAAGGTCCTCTACCTTCTCCCTACAACCGAAGGAATCCAATACTGGCATATCAAAGTACTTGCCCCCGGACACCTCAAGTCTCCGAAGCTCTTCAACTGTAGCCAATTGTTCCGCTTTCAAATCTAGCTTCCTTGCACCAGCTAATTCATTCCTTTCCTCTATCTCATCCTCAGCAAGCCATTCTTCATCAGTGCTTGAGTCATTTCTTGCACTCGGCTCGAAGTAGGACGGTCATGTTTTTTCTTTTGAGCCATTTCCTTTCTCTTTCTCTTGTATGGTCCTACAATTGACAAAATATAAGCTTTCCAATTGTATATGATAACAATCAAAACAAAATGCCACACATTAGCAAAACACTTCCCACTTGCTATCCCCTTTCCTATTTTTTGAAATTATGCACAAAGAGGTGACCAAAATTTTCCAAAAATTTTGCCATAGTTTCCCCTAAATTTTGGTCAATTTCCCAACACAAAATTAGACAAAGAAGACTACATTATAGCACATTCATCAAAATTTCCACAATTCATGCTCAATTTAACAAAGTCAAATAGTCAACTTCATCTTCTTCATTCAAACAATGGAACAATTCACAAGTAGGTGTGTGTAAGTCATGGCTTTGTGTTAGCATTCAATCATACTATGCACAATTGTCCATACAAAACATGCAATTGTTGTTTTCCATCATCAATTTCACATCACAAGAGATATATATTCAATTAATATAATTTTCCCCAAATTTCTATCTAGGGTTCATGCATGTATCCCAAATTCATCAATAACGGCATATATTCACAAAATAGGCACAAATTCATGTCTCTCATTGAACAACTACTCTATTCTAG